CACGTTGTTATACCGGCAAACGATCTCAAACAGTATAAATGTGTGTGCAATGGGGTTGCATCATTAATTCGAAACTTCCATTATGGCAGCCTTGAGAATGTATCGCGAGAAAATTCGTTACCTTTCTTCTAGTGAAGTAGTTCAACAACGGAGAGAAATTTTCGGAACGTTAAATGGTGATGCGTTCTTTCCGTTGAAAAGGTGGCCAGAAGACATGAGACTGCTGTTTTGGAAAAAGCCCATTGGGGACCAGCAAACATTCAAGCTGATGCTGTTCTGCATAGGAAACGGTTGCTCTCCAGACCTGATTTGTCCCTGGATCTTGTTGTCACAAGCCTGGGCAACACCTGATAAGGCGGAGAAGCGGGCGCGTCAAGTTAACTATGTCTTAAACAATGTAGATACCAAACGCCATTGCTGGTTCTACTTTGACATTGATTATGACAAGATGCTTTATCTAAACGGCCTTCCAAAACAAAAAGGCAAATGATTACCAGCCTTCAGTTCCTGTTAACAACGGCTCCTTTAGGAAGCACCAAGAATATAAAAGTCTATGACCAACAATGCAATGTGGTTACTAACTAAGAATACGGAAACCCCTGTTTTAATTTTTTTAGTTCCAGCTGTTTCGCGTACAATTCGTTTCGTCTACAAATCGTTTCGTGTACCGCTTCGAAGTCGTTTTGTCACACGACCGTGGTAGTTTCGCTTACACTATCTGAGTCAATTGTCTAACGTAAAATCGTATCGCCTACATTTCAGTTGAAAATATTTCCCTCAGTTAGATGATATTATGCCTACAGAGAGCAAATTCGCGTATGACAATAATTCCAGTTAAATGCATCATAAAATTTTAGTGGGAATCAATTTGTTGTTGAATTAACAGATTTCAATAGGTGATGCATTTGAAGTGGAATCACGATTTTTCGAACCTCCAAGGTCACAAAATTAGTTCCAAAACTGATTGGACATATCGGGAGTTCGAAGGAAGAGGACAGCGTTTGTCTGGGGAGGGCAATGGCTTTTGTTTTGAGTTATTCTAAGGTTCGGGAATTTGGAATTACAAACATTTTGACCACGTTCGTGACTTGAACCAACAACATGTCGATCACTTCGTGTAGGCGAAACGACTTCGATGTGAGCGAAACGATCGGATACCAGTTTTAGTACACTTTGTTTTATTTGTCATGCCACCCCCTGTCACTATAGG